CCCCCCCCCCCCCCCAAGCAAACGTTGCCCGCAGCAAGTGCGGGCACTCACGGCCTCAGCAAGCAGGGCTCAGGCCCCTCTCCTCGTCCTCATCCTCCTCTTCCTCCTCCTCGCTGTGGGCAGATAGGTTTTTCCTCTTTACCTGTCGCTGGGGGGTGCTGCTCTCCAGGGGGCTTGGAGAGTGACACTGTAAACATGGCTTCTTGGCATGCTGGTGGCAAGGCTGTGTGCCTGAGTCACTGCCCGGGGAAGGCACTGAGGTAGAGCGGGGGGAGGCCCCCGAGACCCCGTCCACCGAGTCTGTGGGACTCACGCTGCAGATGGAGGAGTACCCCGAGGTCACACTGTCCTTGCCTGGCTCCCTCCTGCCGTGGAGCAGAGGCTGGGGCCCCGGGCTCGGAGGTGTCTGGGTGCCTGGTACGTAGGCGCGCACATCCTGGCGACCACCGGCCTCCGGGCAGGCCTCCTCGTCGCTTGATTCCTGGCAGCAGTGCTGCTCTGGGTTTAGATAGACCACGGTGACGTCGAGGATGCCGCTGGGTGCTGTCACTGTGGGAGACGTGGGGAGAGAGGTGAGGCGCTGAGCACTGAGTACCCCCTGTCCAGTCAGGAACCCGCAGGGGCCCGTGTCTGGACCTCGCTGCACAGCCCCCCGTACCGCTCTCCTTTGGGCAGGAAGGAGGTGGAGGGGGCCTCTCACGGTGACGTGGGGGACGGTAGGAAGTGACAATAAACTGATCATCAAGAATCTACTTAATCCCCAGTGGACACAAGAGCAAGCAACCGGAAAGTCAGCAGAAACGGCCAGACCTAGGGTTCCTGTGTGTTTAGCTGCCCAAAAACACAGGGACGGAGCCTCCCACAGGTGGCCCTGCAGACGTGCACAAGGCACAGAGGCCAAAAGGGCGGTGGCCGGCACACGTCACACAATGTTATGTGGGTTCCAGGCAAGGTCTCTTCTTCTTCCCCTGCCCTGGTGAGGTCCTTCCATCAACACGGGCCTGGCTGGGGCTGGAGAAAGGTCATCTCTCCTCCCCAAGGGCTGAGAGGATGCCCGCCCCACCCTGGCCCTGCTGTGCTGTTCTAGGGGCTCTGCTGCCTCACGCCTGCCTGTGTGCAGACGCGCTGTCCTGCAGGCGAGGCAGGGGTCTGGCGTGAGACCCCCACCCCTGGAGCCTGAGGCACTCACCGTCACCGTCCTTCTCGCCCTCGCTCTCCTGGTCACCCTCGTAGCCCGAGCAGTAGTCCAGGCTCCAGTCCAGGAAGCTGCCCAGCAGCACCTCCTCCTGGCTGGACAGCTCCGCGGTGGGCGTGGTGACGAAGCTGCCCCTGTCCTCCTGGAGGCTGTTCTCCCGCTTCCTGCAAGGTGGGAGAGCCAGGGGCCGGGTCACGGTGGGCCACAGCGTGGGAGCCAGCGGGCGGTGCACAGGGACGACAGGACGACACAGCTTCCCGGCTGCCTGCCCTCAGGAAGCTCACGTCAAAGGGTCAGAGAGACGGGGCCGCAGCACCGTGACAGTCAGCACAACAGGACTTTGCAGGATCACCGGGAGTTCCTCAGGTGGGTAAGTGGGGAGGGCAACTTATTCCAGGTGGTACAGCCAGGACATGGACGCGGGGGACACGTGTGGACATGCTCGTGACACGAGGGTGGAGATGGAGGGAGCCAGGGAAGCGCCCAGGACAGTAACCAGGCAGCAGCTGCGGGGTCAAGAGTGACAGCAGTGCTGTGGGACAGGGTGACCGGCACACATCTGACAAGTGGCGGGGCCACAGGCTGAGCTGGGTCCACCCTGGCTCAAGACCTTCCTCCCTGAGCGGAAGCCAGGTTAAAGCAAGAAGCAAGAGAGAGAGCTGCTCCGGAGGGAGAAGGTGGAGTGGCAGGCGGGCAGGATCGGGCCCGGCTGCATTTTTTGCGGGCCCTGCTGCTTCTCCTTGCTACGCCTCAGGAGCCCCCTGCCTAACAGGGGGGAATGGAGCCCCTCAGGCAGCTGCAGCGGTCACAAGGGAAGCCAGGCCCAGTGCGCAGGAGCCGACGCTGCGTTGCACTGTTGCAGAACGGGGTTCACTCACCGCTTGGTTCTTCTTCCCGACGGAGAGCTGAGGAAGGCGTGAATGTCCCCCGCGCTGAGGAAGGACGTGGGCTCTGGGCTGCCTTGCTTCACGCCCAGAGCTGCGCACAGCTGCCCGTAGCTCAGCACCTGAAACGAGGCCAGGGTTAGACGGATGAGGCCCCGGGGGCAAGCGTCTGGGGGTGGGAGGTGGGGGCGGGAGCACCTCTTCCCGGCTGATCTCTTCGTAGCGCTTGTCCTCGAATCGCTGCTTCACGGCGGTCAGAGAGACTTGCCTGTAGTCCTTGGGGGCGTCGTCGTGGAAGCTGCAAACAGAGGGACACGTGAGGGACAGCGGGGCCACATGCAGGGCTCTGGGGCATGCCTGGAGGGCAGATGGGGCACCCTGCGGCTGCACAAACAGGTAAGCGTGCAGTGACTCATGACCCAGCAATTCCGCTCCCAGCCGTGTTATTCGCAGCAGCCAAAGGGGTGGAAACCCCGATGTGGTCCGTCCATGCAGCAGAATGTGATTCTAGAGGAACATTACATAGGTGACAAGCTGGCCACAAGGGGCCATGTGATGTACAATTTCATTTCTGGGAAATGTCTGAAATGTTCATAACAGGCGAACCCACAGAGACAGAGAGCAGGGGAGTGGCTGCGGGGTTGTGGAGGGATGGGCCGGATGGGCAGCACGGGCGTGACTGCTGAGGAGTGCAGGGTTTCTCCGAAGGAGGAGGCGATGTTCTAAAATTGACGTAGTGATAGTCACACAACTCTGAACACAAATCGCACACTTAAAAAAGTGTAGTTTGTGGGGCGCCTGGGTGGCTTAGTTGGTTAAGCGTCCGACTTCAGCTCAGGTCATGATCTCACAGTCTGTGAGTTCGAGCCCCGTGTCGGGCTCTGTGCTGACAGCTCAGAGCCTGGAGCCTGCTTCAGATTCTGTGTCTCCCTCTCTCTCTGCCCCTTCCCTGCTCATGCTCTGTCTCAAAAATAAATAAAAACATTTAAAAAAAATTAAAAAAAAAAAGTTTAGTTTGTAAATAAATGTTCCCAACTTATCTGGTAGGGAAATAAAAAACTCGGGAGGGGAATAGCCTAACAACTTTTGGGAGGCAGTATCAGGTCAGCATGGTTTGCACCCCTAGTGTGAGCGGCTGTGGGGTCAGACACACACGCTGACCCCTCGACCTTCACCCGTGCTCACCGCCCATCAGCTGTGAGCGGGCACAAGAGAAAACTCATGAAGGACACGCCAGCCCCAGGAGATGCTGCCAGGCTCCTCACGGCTGGACTCACAGCTGGAGCGGGGACCAGCAGCAAGCACCGTCTATGAGGAGCAGCAGCCCCGGGGCAGGGGGTGTCTGGCCCGGACAAGCCGGCGGGGGATCCGGGGCTCAGGTCAGAGGTTGGGGTCTAGATGTTCTGGATCCCAGAGGTGTCCGAGGACAGGCAGAAAGCGGGAGCACCCCAGGCCTGCATGCAGGGAAGAGGGCACTGAGTGCGGCCTGGCAGAGGGAGGAGGTTGCTGCGGGTTTGGGCAGATAAGCACGTGTCAGGAGCGGGGACCAGAGCAGAGGGGGAGCAGGGCCACGGCACGGGGCGATCGCGGCCGGCCGACTCCTGAGCGAGATGACACCGTGTCCCATGCTAACACTATCAGGGGTCAGGCGGCGGGCCCCGATGTTCCCCTGCCCGTCTGCCACCTGTGGAGTGAGGCTCGGGCTGGGAGTTGTGCTCGCGCATCAAGTGTTATCACTGTGGAAACGGGCAACACGGCTGGCCTGGCGCTCTTAAATGTCAACTCTGAGACAGGCAGCACGCTGCAGAAGGTCTGTGTGTGGGCCCGCACACGAGTGAATTCCCCCCTGATCCCTGAGGACACACCCTCTATGGCAGCTGCGTGGGGGACTCATTTCCTTTCACTTAAAAAAAAAATTCTTTTTTAAATGAAGTAGGCTCCACATATAACATGGGGCTTGAACTCACAGGCCCGAGTCACATGCTCTACTGATGGAGCCAGCCGGGCGCCCAGACTCACCACTTCTGATGAAGGCTCAAGACACAGGGTATGAGGTCTTCACAAGAGAATCCGGTGATGTCCCACAACCTTGTGGTCCAGGGCTGTGCTGGAGAGGAAAGCAGGAATGGGGGGGGGGGTGTTCTGACGGCCCCTCACGTCCCACTGCCCCAGTGGTTGTGTGTGGAGTTTTCTGGAGCTCAGTGTTAAAAACGCCCCACAAACAGAGCCTGTGTGCTCACTGTCAACAGTGTGGGAGATACTTAAGCTAGAACATCTCTTAATTGCACCCCCACAGAATGGCTTTTAGTCCATTCTCGTGTCTCCTCCAGGAAAGACGGGCAATGCCTGTTCTCCATCTCCATTGTGAGAATCGTGTCCCGCCTTCTGGAATCCCCAGTCCCTGGCTTGGCTTCTGCTGAAGAGCAGACAGGAGGGCAGGCTCCTTACTCTGTCCGTGGGTCAGCCGCGCGAGCAGCAGGGCGGCCGCGGCCAGACAGGCCGGAGCATAGGCGGCCAGGCTGGTGTGCAGCAGGGACAGCTCACACAGGAAGCCACACAGATGTTGGGTTCTTGGGGCCTCAGGGACCAGCGTCAGCAGGACGTCCTTGTAATCAACCACAGTGGGGACCTGGACGGGACCGGGAGGTGGGGTCTTGTGGGGTTTTGGCACGTGATCACGGTGGCTGGCCCCACCAGTGTTCACACTGGACACCAGGGTGTGGCGGTGATGAGCCCTAGCCCTGGCCTCTTGCCCTCTGGATCCAGGAGGACTTTCCAGAGCAGGAAGCTCAATGCCATGGAGGGGCCCTTGATTCCTCCTGTCCCCTCCCCTGACTTCAACTCTGATTTAAAAGGAAAAAGCATAGGGCTGACTCATCTTTGACAAAGCAGGAAAGAATATCCAATGGAATAAAGACAGTCTCTTTAGCAAGTGGTGCTGGGAAAACTGGACAGCGACATGCAGAAGAATGAACCTGGACCACTTTTACACCAGACACAAAAATAAACTCAAAATGGATGAAAGACCTAAATGTAAGACAGGAAGCCATCAAAATCCTTGAGGAGAAAGCAGGCAAAAACCTCTTTGACCTTGGCTACAGTAACTTCTCACTCAACACGTCTCCGGAGGCAAGGGAAACAAAAGCAAAAATGAACTACTGGGACCTCATCAAAATAAAAAGCTGCTGCACAGCGAAGGAAACAATCAGCAAAACTCAAAGGCAACCGACAGAATGGGAGAAGGTATTTGCAAACGACATATCAGATAAAGGGCTTATATCCAAAACCCATACAGAACTTATCAAACTCAACACCCAAAAAACAAATAATCCAGCGAAGAAATGGCCAAAGGACATGAACAGACACTTCTCCAAAGAAGACATCCCAATGGCCAACCGACATATGAAAAAATGCTCCACATCGCTTATCATCAGGGAAAGACAAACCAAAACCACAATGAGATACCACCTCACACCTGTCAGAATGGCTCACGTTAACAACTCAGGCAACAACAGATGTTTGGCGAGGAGGCAGAGAAAGAGAATCTCTTTTGCATTGTTGGTGGGAATGCAAGCTGGTGTAACCACTCTGGAAAACAGCATGGAGCTTTCTCAAAAAACTAAAAATAGAACCACCCTACGACCCAGCAACTGCACTACTAGGTATTTATCCAAGGGATACAGGTGTGCTGTTTCAAAGGGACACAAGCACCCCCCATGTTTATAGCAGCACTATCGACAATAGCCAAAGTATGGAAAGAGCCCAAATGTCCATCGATGGATGAATGGATAAAGATGATGTGGTATATACACACAATGGAGTATTACTCGGCGATCAAAAAGAATGAAATGTTGCCATTTGGAACTGGAGAGTATTACGCTAAGTGAAATTAGTCAGAGAAAGACAAAAATCATAGGACTTCACTCATATGAGGACTTTAAGAGACAAAAAAGATGAACCTAAGGGAAAGGAAACAAAAATAATATCAAAACAGGGAGGGGACAAAAGAGAAGAGACTCTTAAATATGGAGAACAGAGGGTTACTGGAGGGGGTGTGGGGGGGACGGGCTAAATGGGGAAGGGGCATCAAGGAATCTACTCCTGAAATTATTGTTGCACTACATGCTGACTAACTTTGATGTAAATTAAAAAACAAATAAATAATAAAAGAAAATAAATGCATAAAACTAAAAAAGGAAACGGCAAACGGCCACTTACTCGAATCCTCCCTTCCAGGGCAGAGATGATCTCTCCCATCATCCTCACCAGGTCTTCATACTTGTAGGTGTTGTCCGTGAGCCAAACTGCCTCTCGGATCGTCAGGATCTCTCTGCTGATGAACCTAGAACGTCAAGAAGGGGTCTGAGCACGGAGTCTGCTATCCTTGCAGGCCACGGTCACATGAGGCCCCAATGCCAGAGGGGTCAAAGAGCGAGAGGACCCGAAGAGGTCGCGTGGCCTGGCCTAAGGGTCTGCGGAGGAGGAGGGACCAAGGCTGGCAGTGGGAGTGGCCGGGCTGCCAGGCACGGAGGCGTTTCTGTGAAAGGCACCCACGGATGACCTGCCCGGTTGATCCTCTTAATGACCTGAGGATGACAGCAGCTTCTACGGAGCAGAAACAACAGTTTAGACCCAGAAGGCAGGTGAGCCGGCAGAGCCGGAGCTGCGGGGTGTCTGAAGGTCTGTGCTCAGCACGGGGTCTGGCCGCAGGAATCCTGGCTGTCCCTCGTCAGCCAGCCACCCTGTTCTCTCCTCTGCAGCAGCACCAGGGAGCAGGGAGCGTGCCGGTCCGGTGACCTGCCGGGAAGGGAGCAGGGCCCGGCCCGTGGCCGCTCCGTCCTGGGGGCCCTGCAGCCGGCCCACTTGCCGTCAGCTTGACAGAGCGAGATGGGAGGTGTGGGGACTGCAGGTGCACGAGGCACGAGGCCGGAGCGGGGCCGATGGGGGCTGGGCACATGGAGCACTCAGGGAGAGGCTGAGGCAGGCGCTGCCCTGAGCAGGGGTGGGGCATCTCCTCTAGGATCTTCTTAAAAAACATCTCGCCACTGGCCCATCGGTGGTCCGGGATTTTGGTGACTGATTGCTAGGATGTAATTACCCTGCTCAAACATGAGAAGGCGGGGCCTGTCTGTTCAGCCACCTCTGGTGACGCTGGGTCCACCGAGCATGCCGGGCGCGGGGGGAAGGTTGGCGTGTGGCTGCCTGCTGGCGGCCCCGAGGCCATGCTGGTCTACAGACCACAACTCCAGCTCTCGTCACGGCCATGTGACCAAGATTGCTGCAAGTGGTCACGCTGGCCTCAGGGGTCACGGGGGATGGCAGAGAGTAAGACGGGAGCTGGGGCTCTCCGTGACCTTGTGACATGGGAAAACTACCCCAACGGCATCGGCCTGGAGCCCTTGTCTCTGGGTCACTAAGCAAGAGAAGTTGGCGTCTCGAGTTCACGCCGCCGCGTGTGGCCATCTGTGCCTCACCCCCCAAGGTCTACAGAGCAGGACGGTCAGCCTGCAGAGCCCTGCCCAGGGGGACCGGCAGGCCATGCGGGGGTGTCTGGTGTAGGGAAACAAGGACACGCACGATGTGTGGTGCAATCACTGTCCACACCGCTTCTGAAGGTAAAGGCGGGCTAACAGGTACTGGCTGAAGGACCGCAGATTTAGCTAGAACGGAAGATGGTTCCACTGGAAGAGTCCGAGCCGCCGGAGTGCAGGCAGCTGTGTAAGGAGGTGCCCTGTCTACGTGGCGGGGGTCAGCTGGGGGCGTGAGACCACCAGTTGCAGGTGTCTGACGACACGGCCTTGACAACTGGACTGCCGCGAAGTGGTCTCTCCCTGACCCCGGGACCCCGGGGCAACCCACTGGGCCCGTCCCTCGGTGCCGTGTAATCCTCAGGAGCCAGAGGAGGAGGGGCCCGGCCTGAACCGGCCCGAGCGAGGCCCAGTTCTGGGGTCCTGCTCGCCAAAGTTCAAGTCTGCCATCCCCACGTGGGAGAACTATGCTGTGTGGGCACTCCCTAAAATTAAGACCCCCATCTATGAGGTGGGACACTGAAAGGCCAGCCTGTCGTGTGTCATCCCACAGGCCCTGCCCCGGGGGCCCCATACCGGGTGCAGATGACCATGCAGGCGATGCCCAGCAGCTGGAGCCTGTACCGAGGCACGAGCCTCCTCCGCAGGTACCGGTCCACGCACTCCACAGTCAGGTGCAGGCACAGGCTCGTGAAGTCCTTCATGGTGGCGACCTCCACCAGCCAGTCAATCAGGATGTACCTGCAGGGAGAGCACCAGCCCTGGAAACTCGGGCGCACATTTGTGAGCGTCCCGTTCTCGCCTGGCCCGTCCGTCCTGAGGGAGTGAGCCGGTCTTCGGCAGCATTGCCCATTGACCCAGGAACTTATCCCAGCCTCAGGTGCGGGGCAGGCCCCAGGTCTCCCACCTTTGTCCTTGGGAGGAAGCTGGGCTCACACATCTGTGTACCCTGCCTTCTCCCACAGCCACTGCCAGGTACCGAATGAGCCCAGACACAGGTCAGGGGTAAGGTGGGTCCACCTGGTAGAGTGGGGACGGACAAAGATCCCAGGAATGGGGAAAAGTCGCTTGAAGGGAGCAAGACCTGTGGCCCTCCTGCAAACCCACATTCTCCCCGAGGAGCAGCTCACCCATGGGGTCATTTCTCACGACCCTCTGCTGCGGGGAAAGAACCGGCAAGAAGCTAAAGGGGGAGGATCCATGGGGCCTGGCAGAGGTTCTCGGGCACCGGGCAACCCTGACGGAGCTGACAGATGCAGGATCCTCCTCGAGGGGCTAAACCCAGCGCCAGAGACATTACGCGGGAGGGCTGGGGGCCACGGCAAGGACACCCCGGTAGAGTAAGTGCCTTTCTGAACAAAAGAGAGGAGACCCGGGTCTCTAAGCAGAGGGAAAAGAGGGACCAGAAGTGAGAGCAAAGGAAGATGAAGCTGTGGGTTCCGGGCAAATGTTCCAGGTGCCGGGGGCAGAAGCACCTGTCATAGGCAGAGGGGAGGAGGGAAGGGTGGGGCCGAGGTGGTGGAAGAGAATGGGGAAGAAGAGGAACCTGTGTTTCCTCCAGGACGAGGAAGACCACTTGAGCGCCAGGTGTTTGGGGCTTAGACCAGCCACTACGGGAACAGAGAGGAAGCTGCCTTACCCGACTCAGCAACATTAACGATTTGAGTTACGAAAACAAACCGAGCAAATTGTGCACTTCAAAATGGCTAGATCTGGGGCACCTGGGCGGCTCAGTCCGTTGAGCATCTGACTCTTAATTCCAACTCAAGTCATGATCTCACGGTTCGCTGGGATGGAGACCAGTGTGGAGATCTGTGCTGACGGCACGGAGCCTGCTTGGGATTCTCTCTCTCTCTCTCTCTCTCTCTCTCTCTCTCTCTCTCTCCCTCTCTCTCTCTCCCTCTCTCTCTCTCCCCCCCCTTCCCTGCCCACATATGCAATCTCTCCCCAAATAAACAAACTTAAAAACATAAATAAAAAAACCAAAAATGGCTAAATTTGAAACACCACGTGACACGTCAATGACTCCTCAGTGTAAAAACAAAGGTGGCTGTTGCCCGGTACAGAGGAAAATAAAAAGTTCAACTCAAAGACTGAAATGATACTACTATTTCATTTAAAAATTATATATATATATCAGTCCTCGTAAGGAATAAAGTGCGCCCTCCCCTGCCGAAAACAGAAGAGCAGCAGCCCCAAGAAAGGGCCGATAGGGAGGGGCACACGGTGTTCCCCATGCACACCTAACAGAAGGAAGGACAGCTGGGTGAGGAGGGCGCTGCCACCAGCACTGGCACAGGGTTCAAAAGCATGACAGCGTGATGACATTTGATGCAGCAGCAAAGGACGACCCACCCCTGCACTGTGTGCAGGAGATCAAGCCTCTCCAGCAAGGCCTGATCCTTTTATTTTAATTATTTTCTTAAAGTTTGTTTATTCTGAGAGCGACAGAGGCAGCGTGAGTGGGGGAGGAACACAGAGAGAGGGAGAGAATCCCAAGCAGGCTCCACACTGACCGCACAGAGCCCAGTATGGGCCTGAAACCGACTCACTGTGAGATCACGACCCGAGCCGAAACCAAGAGTCGGAGCCCCCAGGTGCCCCGAGGCCTGGTCAGTTTAAATGTAAATGTCCACTGAGCAATTATTATGAGCTGGGCGTCGTCTGCTGGAGTGTAACCAGAGCCTCATCGTTATAAATCCAAAGTGTATTTGAAATCGTTTGGGCTTAAAAAATGGTCTGCGTTTTCCACTTTACTTCCTAGCATATTCTGCGTCTGAGTGAAAAACCTTGGGGGTGAGCGGGCTGCAGGAAGAGGCAGGGTGCGAGGGCTGGACACTGCCCGAGAAGTCATGCTTGACGGCCACGGACCCTTCTGCACCACACCAATCCTCACTTGAGGTGGTTGTTTGGCGGCCAAAACTGGGCATATGGATCCCCTCACTTTAGAAAGACACTTAACGTGCTTTCACACATCCTGAGGCTTAAAAAGGAACTCTGGAGCACAGACATGGGGGATGTTTGCTCTTCAAAGCCCCGGATAACTAAGGCATCGCTGGCTTTAGAAAACCACACACACACACA